AGCTGCTTGCTGCGGAGACGAGGCGGGTGATGGAAGTGCTATGAGCTCCTCCTGCCCCGTGGGACCTCTGTTGATTGAGTGCACCGCATGGAACAAGTTTGACCAAACCCCTTTATTGGTAAAAGTGTTTTCTTGGAAGAGGCGTCCTGCTGGATCTCAGCCGGGCGTGGGAGTGCTGGCAGCAGCACCAGTGTCGGTGAGCTCCTCGTTCTTGTCTCCTGGTGCCCCACAAAGTGAGATGCTGGGGAGAAGGGCTTGCGCCGGGAGAGCGTCTGCTGCGCTGGTGCCTCCGCTCGGCCTCCCGTGGCTGCGTCCTTCAGAAGAGCAGGACGCTGCGAATGCTGAAAAGTGGAAAGGACGGAGTTACAGGTGCCGTGGCTGGAGGTGTTCAGGAACGGGCAGCAGGGCGGACGTGTGTGCCTGAGGACTGGCCACCTTCTTTCTCACGCAGCCTCCTCCCAAGTCAGCTGCATGAGACGTGCAGCAACGGGGCAGCCCAAAACCCTGCTGAAGGGAACCCCCTCAGGAGCTAAGGCACCTTGTCCCTCCCCAAAGCTCTTGTGCTGAGGCTGTGAGATACGTTCTTCCTTCCATTGGCTTTTATGCTCTTGTCACCAAGGATGCCCCTTACTCCTTGTTCTGCTTTGCCTGTCCTGTGCTTTCAAACAGTGCCCTGAGATGCAGTTCCTGGGAGTCTGTGCTGGCTTCAGTGCAGTGCTGGGGCCACAGGGTTTCTCCTAAGGTGAATCATGAGCAGGAGGGTTCCCTGTGCTGAGCGTGGGCTCCTCCCTCCAGGATATGGCAGATCATCCCAACATAGGTCTCTGGTCCCTGCCTTCTTCCAAGACTTGGATGCTTTGCGAGAAGGCAGCATTGCACGCTCTGCCTGCCAGAGTGTTTGAACTTCAGGTGGAGGTGGTTTGCTGTACCCCACTCCTGCTAGTCAGGGTCTCACCTTTTTCCTGCACGTAACAACTCAAATCCCTCGTTCACTTTAGCGATCGGCAGTGTGTGTGTGATCAGCAAGTCTGAGTTGAATTTCTTCTCCAAATAGCTGGAAACTAGTTTGGGGATACCGTCTCTCGTCTTCCAACCTAGAAACAGTTGAAATGGTTACAGGTTTAGTAGCATGTTTCATGCCTACATATATAGTGGAAATGCAGTGCTCCTGCTTAGCGGCGTTTTTCTTGAAAACCCTCTCAAAGAGGCTTCCTGGGACATTGCCAAGCTTGAAATCTTCTTGGTGACCGAGAGGTTAGTGAATAACAACTATGAGGAAAAGTATCTTTTGTCCTCCAGCTGAGGACATTGCCCAGATGGGAGAACTGATTTTCAAAGGAAGAGTTATTCTTATGGGCTGAAGGGTACGTGTTCCACAGACATTTGGAAATTACTGTGAACGGAAAAGGTTGAAATGTCTAAAATCTCTTCTTGAGTTTCTTACCTCCGAGCAGACTCCCTTTCCATGTACGACCAGACAGCAGAAGCATAGGGTTGAGGGAAATCACTGACCCAGAATCCAGTTCCCCAACCATGACACAGATGCCAGTGTTCACATTGCAGGAGGCCAGGGCAGCGACCTGATGGGACAAGCAGGTGAATTAGAGAAGGCGCTGATGAGTTCGTCAGAAAAGCGATCTTTCTGTGCAGTCACCTGCCTCTCCCTGGTCATCTGAAAACACGTATTCCCTTTTGCAGCAGACATGGAGAGAGAGCTCAGTGCCTGTTTTAAGACTCGTACATCATTTTCTCCCAAAGCCAAGAGACTGCCTTTCTGAGCAAAGATGTGCCCGGCAGTGCAGGCAGCAGGCAAGGAACTGCCTGCCGGGTTGAAATCTGCCCTGACAGGAGCTCGTGAATGAGCTAGGAGGGAGGACAGCTGCTGAAATGCCACCTACCATGGTATCCGCATGCCCGATGACCTCAAAGGAGTAGTCCACACCGTGGCCGGTCATCTCAATGAGCACCTCCTGGATGGGCTTCTTGAAGTTGTGAGGACTTATGCAGTCGGTGGCTCCCAGCTCCTTGGCCTTGGCCAACTTGTCCTTGTTGATATCAATGGCAATGATGCGGGAAGCTCCAGCCGTCCTGCAGCCCATGACAACAGAGAGGCCAACTCCTCCGACGCCAAAGACAGCGCAGGTGGAGCCTGGTTTTACCTGTGCAACATGGGACCCTGTGAGTCTCCAGCATGAAGAGGAGGCTTCTGTTGCACAGGGTTGGTGAGGGTGTGAGGGCAGCCGTGGGGTGCTCGTGCCCGACACGCCTGGATACCACCAACCTTGGCAGTGTTGACGGCAGCCCCGTAGCCTGTGGAAAACGCACAGCCAAGCAGGCAGACTTTGTCCAGAGGTGCTGCAGGATCTATCTTGGCAACGGCGTACTCTGGGATCACAGTGTATTCTGCAAAGGTGCTGACCCACAGGAAGTGGTGGATCTGCTTCCCTTTGCAAGTGAACCGGCTGGTCTTGTCAGGCACCAGGTTTTGTGGTTCAGATAAGCTGTTGGGAGGCACATGCATTTGTTTTTCCTCAAGTAAAGCACCCATGGGGCTGTCAGCCTTGTTGCCAGACAGCTGACCCCATTTGAGTGTAGGGGAAGGTGGAGCAAACTCACTGGGTCTTCAGGCAGTAGTTGGAATCGGGATTCAGGCAGAAACTGCATTCCCCGCATTGAGGAATGCAAAGAGGGATGACTTTATCTCCTGCAATAAAGTGGATCCCTGTCAGGTGCCTCTCGCTCAGCAGGCCCTCAGGGTGCTGCCTGTGGGAGCACCTCTGCTGAGCTCTCTGATGGCAGCATCCTACCACGGACCCTCTGCTTTCTCTGTCAGGAGGAAATGCTCATGTGCACGGGGACTAGACCAGGAAAGTGTCTGTGACAGTCCCGTGCAATGAGTTGCACTCAGGTTTTGAGGCACTGACGCAGGAGCACGGGGGAATTTCTGAGCTCTGGGCAGCCTTATGTGCCTTGAGAGCTGACACCTTGCTGTGTGTTTGTGCGTGTGTGCCTTACCCGGTTTCACAGAGGTCACTCCTTCTCCAACGCTTTCCACAATCCCAGCTCCTTCGTGGCCTGGGATAACTGGGAAATCCACATTCCCAAAGGTGCATGGCCTGGGATAACTGGGAAATCCACATTCGGAAAGGAGCCTTCCAAAACGTGGTTGTCTGTGCGACAGATGCTTGTGGCCACAATCTGTTTGGAGAGGAAAGAGCTGATGAGCTTTAGAAATGGTCTGGCTTTGGTTTTACTGAGTTTGTGGAAGGATTTTTCACAAGGCTTCTGTGAACAGTTAAAGTCTGTTAGTGGACAGAAATCCCTGACAGGTATATTCATGGTCGAGCTGCCAGAAGAGCAATTCCCACAAGGGAGGAAAAAAATACTGAAATGTGTCTTTACGTTGATACGGACTTCACCTGCCTTTGGAGGTGCAACCTCCACCTCCTCAACAGAGAGTGGCTGGCCCACGGCCCAGGCAACAGCAGCTCTGCATCTGATAACCTGGAAGCAACAGAGGGGATTAGGCTGCATTGGAATGTTTGCCTTTGGCGCACGATCTCCAGGCAACAGCAGCTCTGCATCTGATAACCTAGAAGCAACAGAGGGGATTAGGCTGCGTGGGAACGTTTGCCTCTGCACACTGGAGCTCGCGCTGCTGGCGCTGCACAGCTGTCCTGTGCTGTTTCCTGGGGGACTTGCTGGGTGGGTGGCATGTGGTGGGAGAGCAGAAACATGGGAGTGCTCAGCTGTGTGTGAAGCCAAGTGATGTTCAAGAAATGCTGGTGTAGTGTGAAGTGTGAAACGCAAAGATGAAGTGACCAGCCCGTAGCGAGTAAGACTTGTGCTTTCCCTGGCAGTGTGGACATGGAAAAACCGACCTGCCTTGTGTCCATGGCAGAGGGCTCTGGAGGTGACCCCGGGGCAGCGTAGGAGAGGCTGCAGGCCCTGCTGGGGGGATGTATCCTCCCAACAGCAATCGATGCTGATGCCCTGCCAGGCCTTTGGCCTCTGGCCCCTGTCCTGCCTGCCATGTGAGTACCGAGTGAGTTCCAACGTGACTTTTGCTAGGTGACATGGAGACGATCCCGGAGGGAAGAGGCTCTGGTGTACTGGGCAGATTTGACTGCAAGACGTGCGCTGCTGTATCTTCAGACTAGAAGGACAGCACTTTCGGTACCCGTGGAAATGACTGATAAGAGCTTTGCTGTCGATCTCATAGGACATGGGCCTGAAGGCACCTAAGGGGGCTTAAGGAACGGTTCCCATCCGGCTGGCAACTGGATAATTTTTTCCCTCACCAAAGGGATGATTGGTGCGTGGCATCTCCCAAACCCCAATCTGATCAACCCAAAGCTGGTTTGATGTCAGCAAAAATCAGCTTGCAGCTTAAAAAGAATATTGCCAGGGACAAGGCTGAATGCAGGCGGTGAATGGCTGCAGGAGTGCACCTCTGAAGAGCCGGGTTTCCCTGCCAAAGCGGGAGCGCAGAGCGGGGCTGAGCGGGAGGGCGCGTTTCAGAGCGGTACGATTCGGGGTTTTCACTCCTGAGCTGCTGGGCAGAACAGGAGAGGAACGCATGACCTAACCGACACATGCAGCTGTATGAAAGCAGGAGCTCGAGTAATTCAAAGGGGTTTGGATGAGTGGGAGGAGTAAGGTTAGAGGGAAGAGGGTGCACAGTAGAGGTGCGCAGGCTGAGCTGTTTGCAGAGTATTTCCCCAAGAGCTGGGGACCTCAGAAAGGAAGTCAGGAAACGAATTGTCCTTACTTTTCCAGAAGTGGCCATGTGGTCTTAGCAGAGCTGTTGCTGTCGCTGCAGCAGGCTGGAGGGAAGGTGCGCGCGCTC